TCTAGCTTTGCCAGCCGTCAAATTGAGCGAAAGCAATGTGGACTTTTTTGGGTGAGAATGGTGTGCAAATATCGTCATTCTCAATAAAGTTCAAACAACGTACCTCTTCTTAGATTTCTCGCGTAAATCTCATTCTGTACAAATGTACTCACCTTCAGGAGAACGATGAAGTGCTTGTGTCTGGCTTCGGTCGATCTGGTCACGCCGTCGGAGATATTCCCGGAGTTCGTTTCAAGATTGTCAAGGTCGCCAACACCTCGCTTTCTGCCCTTTTCAAAGGAAAGAAGGAGAGACCACGTTCGTAAACGCTGTTCGTTATTGTTGTTACGGTTTTCATAAAGATTTGTTAATCTTTATCGCATGTGCATATTTTTATTTGCTTGTCATGAAGATATTCAGAAAAGTGACCAGTGTGTGGTTTGACAAGCAATACAGTATTATTGGTTTTCACAAATTAGATAGCGTGAGCTATCTTCAAGCTCATGCTTCTCGGCAAGAAGAGCTAAATCTTATCTTGCAACGACTGCTTTCGATTCACTGCTTTTTAGAAAGTTTGCTTCGCTTTCTTTCCAAAAAAAGAAGTGTTTTCAGCCTCATTGTTTTAGAAGTTCAGTATTTCGACGCACATTTCACAATCTTTTTAGAAATAGTGAGACTTAAATAACAAAAGTACGCACTAATGCTGATTGAGTGGAATTTCTTCATCTTTCGAAGAAAGGATGGTTAGTGACTTTAGCTATATCACCGAATGTGTCTTGTCTACTATAGTTTGAGTTATACATGTTCTTTCTGCGAAAATTGCTTGCACAATGTGCCGCTTATTGGCCCAATGCTTACAATTCGTTATAATTTAACGATATAAAAGCTAGCTGTTGGTTAGAGGTTTTGTAATTAGAAAATACCTTTTGCTTCCTTGATTTTTTTTTTGCTTTTCGAACAATTAAAAGTAGATTATGCGCAATATTATTCATTATTCCTATATTCATTATGTTCTTAACCCGGCGGGAGAGGCTAGTGTGATAGCTAACAAATAAATCAAGAAGATCTTTTT